AAGTCCTGACCTGAATCCTATTGAGATGCTGGGGCATGACCTTAAAAAGGCGGTTCATGCTCGAAAACCCTCCAATTTGGCTGAATTACAACAATTCTGCATAGATGAGTGGACCAAAATTCCTCCACAGCGCTGTAACAGACTCATTGCAAGTTATCGCAAACGCTTGATTGCAGTTGTTGCTGCTAAGGGTGGCCCAACCAGTTATTAGATTTAGGGGGCAAACACTTTTTCACACAGGGCCATGTAGTTTTGGATTTTGTTTTCCCTTAATAATAAAAACCTTCATTTAAAAACTGCATGTTGTGTTCACTTGTGTTATCTTTTACTAATATTTAAATTTGTTTGATTATCTGAAACATTAAAGTGAGACAAACATGCAAAAAAATAAGAAATCAGGAAGGGGGCCAACACTTTTTCACACCACTGTATATTGAATATAAAAACTGTTAGATTTTTTAAATTCCATACGGTATTAAATGACCAAATCTATCAAATAAAGTTCAGTGTCCTGTTGTAATAACTGCAGTAAACACAAAGAGTAGAATTACATGTATAACGTTGTAGAATTAAATATATAATGTATGGTGTGTGATGTGTTGATTTAAGCTGATGGAGGACACTGGAGCAGACTTCACCATGACTTTCAGACAGCTGAGTGAAGTCACTCTGTCCCAGCTTCAGACGGGATCCTTTCCTCCGGTACATTTCCACTCCATTCACACCCACAGCAGCTGCAATATCCATGATTTATATAATAATGATTTCAGTCCATTAACTGTGTCTCTCTTAACAGTCAATGTGGGCTCTGTCAGACCTCTTATCACATGAGTATTTCAGAGACTGGGTTCAGCTGTATTTAAAGCGTCTGTCAAGGTAACATTGCTGCAATCTACACTCGCAGACATTAGAGCATTGAAATGAACATCTCTCGATGTTTTAATCTGTCTCTTAAAGGATGAAAAGTGACTCAGATGCAGCACGTCAGCACAGAATGCAAGGTATTTTTTGGTCTATGTTGTATATATTGTTACATTACAGTATGCTATGGCAAACTACCATTCAAAAGTTTGGAGTCCATAAGATTTTTTTTTTTTTTTGAATGCTATTGATAGAAGTCTTACATGCTCACCAAGGCTGCATTTGTTTGACCAAAAGTGAAAACAGTAATATAGTGAAATAATATTAGAGTTTTCTATTTTGATATTTTAAAATTGTATTGATTCCTGTGATGGCAAAAGTGAATTTTCAGCACCATTACTGTCAGCATCATTGCAATTATTGACACTATAAACTTTTGAATGGTAATGTTGTTATGTGTTATGTTGTATATGTTGTTATGTGTGTTGACTGCTTTGTTTTTATTGTTCAGGAGTCAACCCTCGGTATGTATTGAGGAACTGGATGGCTGAATCTGCTATCAGAAAAGCAGAGAAAAATGACTTTTCAGAGGTATGACTACATGTGATGAACTTTTGCTTTAATATGTTACTTTGGAATGTACTGTAGGCCAGACAATTATACATAAAATCTACTATTTTCAGGCAAACTATTATTTTTTATATGTGATGGAATTTCTTATGATGTATTTCTAGGTGGCGCTGTTGCAGAAGACTCTAACAGAGCCATTTGTGGAGCAGGAGGAGGCTGAGAGAGCCGGATACTCCAGTAAACCTCCATCCTGGGCTCAGCAGCTGAGGGTCAGCTGTTCTTCCTAATCTATTTTCTCAATGAAAGCATAACTTGAACATTCATTTGCATCAAAACATTCTGCAGTTCTACACAAGCATGTGAAATTTTGCATCATGCATCTAAAGAAGAACTCAATAAGGCCTGCCAGAATCTGTTTAACAGTTAACTTCGCAAGACCATATTTACTGACATTTCATTAGCAATGATGATATAGCATATTTGTAATACATACAATATATAATCTAAGTAGCTGCATAAGAACAAAGTATTTACAAATTTTTAGTTTTGTGGTGTAATAAAAACTTTTCAAACAACAAAAAAATGAAAGCATCCAATTTGTCCTAATGTCACACCAAAAACCGGTCGGGGTCAGTTCCTCAGTCCAACTATAAAAACATGTCAATTAGCTCTGTCTGTCTTCAAGTTCATTGGTGACTGCGCTTTTTCTGCATTGCTGTCATCAGTTCTGACATGAAGTCGCCACCTGATGGCGCTGTTAGTTGAGGTGTAGTCCTCTTTAGTGGAGGTGGAGCCACTTTTCTGACGGATTCGGTGGGTTTGTGGGCAGCCGGTGCAGGGGGTGGGGGTGGGGGTGGAGGTGGTGGCGGTGCTCCACCTGCAGATGCAAGGTTTTGGGGAGCAGGAGGAGGTGGTGGGAGAGACGCAAGGGGGGTTGTTAAGTTTAGGTATTGGGTAGGATTATGGATGTAGAATATGGTCGTGCAGGATATGTGCTTTATAAGTACTACTAAACAGCCAAAATGTTAAAGGGTTAGTTCACCCAAAAATGAAAATTATGTCATTAATTACTCACCCTCATGTCGTTCCAAACCCGTAAGACCTTCATTCATCTTCGGAACACAAATTAAGAATTTGTTTTTTTTTATAAATCAGACAGCTAAGCAGCAGCGCCAATGCGCATGTGTCGTTTACATGAAGCGGAAGCAAGCATACTTCATGATGCTCTTTCCACAATAAGTCATTATTTTTGTTTTCTTTGCACACAAAAAGTATTCTCGTAGCTTCGTAAAATTACGGATTAACCTCTGATGGACTATTTTACTGATGTCCTTGCTACGTTCTGGACCTGGGAACATATCAGTTGTGTTGCTGTCTATGGAGGGTCTGAGAGTACTCGGATTTAATCAAAAATATCTTAATTTGTGTTCCGAAGATGAACAAAGGTCTTATAGGTTTGGAAGGACATGAGGGGGAGTAATTAAAGGATTAGTTCACTTTCAAATTAAAATTTCCTGATAATTTACTCACCCCCATGTCATCCTAGATGTTTACGTCTTTCTTTCTTCAGTCATTAAGGTTTTTGATGAAAACATTCCAGGATTATTCTCCTTATAGTGGACTTCAACGGCTACCAAACGGCTGAAGGTCACAATTACAGTTTCAGTGCAGCTTCAGACGAGGAATAAGGGTCTTATCTAGCGAAACGATTGGTCATTTTGGTCAAAAAAAAAAGTATATGCTTTATAAACAAAAATGCGCCTTGCACTGCTCTGCGATGCACGTCCATGACTTCACGTAATACGTAATTACGTTGAAAAGGTCACGCTTGACGTAGGCGGAAGTACCGACTCGGTGTTTACAAATGTAAAGGAGGACCATTCAAAAGTTGTTGTATGTTCAATGACACATATTCAAATGTCTTTGTGTCAGTTTATCGTTTAAAATGGTCACTTCGTGTGCGTATCCTGGATGTTTAAATCTTTTGAAACCTAACTTCCGCCTACGTCAAGCGTGACCTTTTCAACGTAATTACATATTACGTGAAGTCATGGACACGCATCGCAGAGCAATGCAAGGCATGCATTTTTGTTTAAAAGGCATATACTTTTTTTTTTTTTAAAAAAGGA